GTCGACGCAGACGCCCAGGTTTGACTACCAGTTGAAGACTGCCAAAATCGGCCTGGTATCAAATCGAACGTATCACATGTATCGCCGGTCAGGCACATCCCCTCCCGAAATCCTTCCACCCAGCGTTTGTCACAGCCGGCGTCGGTACAGGCGCAGGCACCGACATCGATGTCGGCGTCGGCGATGGCGACAGTGCTGGCGTAGGCGCTGGCGTTGGTGCCGGGGTCGGCGCCGACGTCGGTGTCGGCGTCGGTGCTGTCGACGGTGCTGGCGTAGGCGCTGGCGTCGGGGCCTGCGTCGATGCCGGCGTCGGCACCAGCGTCGGTGCAGGCGTAGGCGCCGAGGTCGGTGTCGGCATAGGTGCTGGCGCCGGTGCTGGCGTAGGCGCCAGCGTCGGTGCCCGGGTCGGCGACGACGTCGGTGTCGGCGTCGGTGCTGGCGAAGGACGGCCACCTCCACGGGCGTTGTAGCTAGGGTTGGGTGAGCCACGCGCAGAGGGGGGTGGGGAGGGCTTCTAAGGAGCAGCCTCCTTCGAAGAAGCCCTCCCCCCTCCCTCCACCCCCTTGTGCGCGCCGCCATTTTGGGGAGGGGGTCGGGGACGGGGCAGGTCTCGGATCCGGAGTCGGAGCAGGCGTGAAGCCCAGCTCTGGAGTCGGGGCCAGGGTCGGAGCCGGAGAGATAGCGCCAGAAGATTGGCGGAGCTGGAGTCTGGTCGCGGTGCGGGAGTCGGCCCTGCGTGCCCGATCTGGCATCGCAGACGCCGTCGGTGGTGGTGCACGGCGAGGTCGCCGGAGCTTTGGCAGCGAGAACAAGGGGGTGGAGGGAGGGGGGAGGGCTTCTTCGAAGGAGGCTGCTTCTTAGAAGGCGCCAGCCTACATCTATAGAGAAGGCCCGCGCCTTCTAAGAAGCAGGGGTGCTTCGAAGAAGCTCTCCCCCCTCCCCCCACCCCCCTCTGCGCGTGGCCTAGAGCTGGTGTCGGAGCGTAGCGGCGAAACTGCCCGTTGAGATTGAATCCTCGTGGAAGGCCAACGGTTGTCCCAGCCGCGTGGCCGATAGCGCGATCTCGTCGAATCCAACGCCTGGGAACGTCGGAGGTGGAACTGCCGCCAGAGTCGGTGACGGCCGGTAGGGGAGTCGGAGTTGGAGACTGCGTCGGAGCCGGCGCGGTCGCGAAGCAACAGTGTGCAAGCTATCGCGTTTCCCTGTCACTCTGCTGTGTTATCGCGGCTAGTCCAGTACATCTAAAAAATAAGTAGCAGGAAAACTTTCGAAGTGCTGGCCCGAAACCGTCAGGTGTCGGAGGCGAGTCGGAGGTGGAAGCGGAGCCAACGTCGGAGTCGGAGTCAGAGTCGGAGTCGGACGCGTGCTCCTCCATAGCGGCAGTGGTGGTGGTGGCAGTGGCAGTGGTGTCGGTGGTGGTGGCTGTTGAGGTTATGGTAGCTGGAATGGCGGTGAAGTGGCAGATGAAGAAACATTGCTGGGGGGACAGGGATTGTCCCCCGCATCTCGTCCTCAGAGACATGTGGCCCTGGGGGCTCGACGGAGAAGGCGTCGGGCAGTACGTCGGAGCTGGTGTCGGTCCCGCGCTGGGGGCCAGCGTTACACTCGATTCCGGGCAATGCCAGCCCATCCTCGCGCACGCAAGCTGTGGGACCCTCCGGCCGGGCTAGCGTCACCACATCCTAGGTGCCATGCGTCGAGTTCGGTTCAAATCTTTTGCGTGGGACGATTGTGGTGGGTCTGCTGTGGGTCGGTTGTTGTTGGCTGTCTGTGGGTTAGCTGTGGTACGGGCTTGGTGCGTGGGTCGGTTGTTGTGGGACCGCTGTGGGTCGTTTGATGTGGGCTTGCTGTGGGCCAGTAGTGCGTCGGCTGTGGTCCGCGTTAGCGGTGCGGGTCGGTTGCGGCGGGTCTGCTGTGGGTCGGTTGTGCTTCGAGTTTGTTGCGTGGGTCAATTGCTGTGGAACTGCAGTGGGGCGGCTGCTGTGGGGCACGTTAGCGAATAACTGCCCGCGTTTCCGCCCCTATCATGAGTTAGTCATGTTGCTTGAGGTTGGTTTGTGGGTCGGCTGCGGGTCGGGCTTGTTGCGTGGGTCGGATTCCCGTGGGTCGGCTGTGGGCTGGCTGTGGTTCGAGTTTGTTGCGCGGGTCGGCTGCCGCGGAGCAGCCCAAAGAAAGGCAGCAGGACAGCCTTGAGTTTCTTCTCTGTTAGCTATGCTGGTGTGCGACGCTGGCGTAGGAGCTAGGGGATGTCCCCCTACAGGGGGAGCTTGAAGGATTTTTTTAATAGTCAACAGATTCTCAACAAATGTTCAAAAATAGTCCACACTTCGTCCCCAGACTATTTTTGGACTAATTTTTGAACATTCCTTCTGTAGGAGGGGCACGCCCGACTTAAAGCTAGAGTCGATGCTGGTGTCGGTGTTGGTATCGATGTTAGCGTGGGTGCTGGAGTCGACGCTGGTGCCGCGCTGCCCTTCTGCCTTGCGGTAGCGGATAGGCAGGAACAGCCAAAATGGAGGTAGCAGGAAAACACTAAAATGGCAGCGCCCAGTTCCATAGTGCTGGGCAACGTCGCCGAGCGGATGCCCTGCTCAATGCGCAGCGTATTCCTCGTCGTGCTGCTGGGGTCGGTCATGCTGACCACTATGTTGCTGCGCAGACGTATGCTGCGACAGTGCTCATCGTCCTGCTGCTCATCGTCGTGCAGCTCGTGGCCGTCATGCGGATACACGGCCGCGCTGCTCGTCGTCGTGCTGCTGATCTCCGCCGTGCTGGGCGTCTCCGTGCAACTCATCATCGTGCTACTAGTGTCTACGGCGCCGAACGCAGCATGAAGGGAGTGTGGGGTAAAAGCCGACTGTGGTGTCGGCGTCAGTGCTGGCTGAGGCGCCAGCGTCGGTGCTGGGGACGTGCCGATGTCGGTGTCGGCGTCGGTGCTGGCAACCATCTGTGCTGGGGTCGGCGCCGGCGTTGGTGTCGGCGTCGGTGCTGGCGACCGTACTGGCTGAGGCGCCGGCGTCGGTGATGGAGTCGGTGCCAACGTAGGTGTCGGCGTGCTGGCGTTGGCGCAGGCGTCGGTGCCGGCGTAGGCACAGACGTCGGTGTCATCGTCGGTGCTGGCGACTGTGTTGACGTAATTAGGCGCAGTCGTCGGTGCACCGACGTCGGTGTCGGCGTCGGTGATGGCGACGGTGATAGCGTAGGCGCTGGCGTCGGCGCCAAGGTCGGCGCCGACGTTGGTGTCGGCTTCGGTGCTGGCGACGGTGCCGGCTGAAGCGCGGGCGTCTGCGCTGGGGACGGCGCCGACGTTGGTGTCGGCGTCGGCGCTGGCGATCCCAAGATGATCCCGCGAGACGGACCAACATGATCCCGCGAGACGGCACCAAGACAGCCCCACGGGCCATGGGCCCAAGAAAATCTAAAGACGACCCAAAACAGACTCAAGGGGCCCCCCCGGCGGTCCAGAGAGGCCCACAAGACGGCCTCCGAAAGCGCTGGACGGCCAGAGAGGACCCTAAGACGGCCCAAGAGAGCCCCAAGGTGGCCCAAGAGACATTAAGAGGCCTTCAACACGGTTCAACTGGCCCGAAAAGAGACTTACCCAAGATGACTACAGAGGGAACCTCCCTGGTGTTCCACCTGTGCTTTCCGCAAGCGCTGGGAGGACCACGCAGTCCAATAGCTCGGCAACACCTTCGCTCGACATTTCACCACTCAGGGAGGAGGAAGATGAAGAACGTAAGGCACACAATTGTTTCCAAACGGCAGAGGCGGCTGAAGAAAGAAATACGCCAGTACGGAAGAGGAGGAAGAGGAGGGAGAAAATTCGCCGGCCCAACGGGCCAGAGGCGTGCTAAGATCTCCGGTAACTGGTTAACAATTGTATATTGTACTAGTTCGCGCGCGCGGGGCGGCCCCTGGGGGTCCCCCGGCGAAAAGTACCCCGCCCGCCGCCTGGCAAGGTCCCGCCCGGTTCAACTCAGAGATGGTTTTCCTTCTGGGTGCGGCCTCTCAGGCCGCCCTGAGCGCGCCAAGAGTGCCCCAAGAGGCCCCCAAGATTGCTCAAGAGGCCCCCGAGACGTTCAAAGAGCGCTCCAAGGCGCCGAAGATGACCCCAAGACGGCCCAAGAGACCCCCAAGACAGCCGAAGAGGCCTTCAAGACGCCCCAAGAGCCTTCCAAGAGGCCTCCGAAGAGGGCCCCAAGAGGCCAAAATCGTTGATTTTCATTGGTTTTTCCGATGTTTTTTGCGTTCTGGCTTTTTCGGCTTCCGGACGCTCCAAGACGACCCAAGAGGCGCCCAAGATCGCTCCAAGACGGCCCACGAAGCTCCCAAGACGGCCCCGAAACGGCCCAAGAGGGCCCCCAAGACGGCCCAAGTGCCGCCCAAGACGGACCAAGAGGCCCCAAGACGGGCCCAAGAGGGGCTCAAGAGGGATACAGAGAACTGAAAAATCGAGCCCTCCGCCCCAGAAGCCGCCCAGGAGGTCCCAAAGAGGCCCCAAGAGACCCCCAAGAGGCCCCCAAGACGCCCCAAGAGGCGCCCAAGAGGCCCAAAAGAGGCCCCAAGAGGCCCCAAAACGGCCCTCAACAGGCCCCAAAACTCGGCTAGCCCAAAAAAAACAGCCCCCGCTCCCTGCAGCTCCGCACTGCCGACGACCTCTCATCCAGTCGACCGCGGTGCGCAATACGGGCCGGCGGAATGAGCGAAGCGATTAAATAAAGAAGTACATGCGTTATGACATGCAGTGGTAATGTATACCGTATGGGTGCTCGATACTTCTGCTCCCATCCGAGATCGTCATCACCAGCGCTACCGCGCTACCGGCTCGAGCCGCGGTCGCACACTAGCCCAGAGCCTGTCCCTCACACAGGATGAACCCTGACAGGGCGATTGTTCTCGCCAGCAGCCAGCACCCCAGGCTGCCGCCTTCGGGCTTTAGCCCGACGGTTGATTGGGCCACCCGATGCCTTTCGGTCAGGGCCCGCTGGGTGCGGGGCCCCCTGGTGCTTATAGCCGATGTACCACAGGAAGCGATTGATGAACGTCGACTTCCCCGAGTTGACTCGGCCGACGATGTACAGCCACTTGGGGTCCTCTGGCTCCATGTGATGGCCTCGGCGCGCCAGCAGTCTGGAAAAGGAACACACTGCATAAGCATGCATTTCCGGAGATCCGTTCGGATTTCTTGGATCCGCGCTGGACCCCCTCCCTGACGCGCGGAGCGCGCCAGGGGCGGCGCCGGCAGCGCCGCCAGGGGGGGCCCCAGCGCGGATCCGAGAAATCCGCGCGGAATGTCGAACATTTATGTTTGTACCGTTTCTTCCTTCTTCTTCTTATTATTCTTCTTCTTCTTATTATTATTATTACTACTACTATTAGTATTATTATTATTATATATTTATTTATTATTATTATTATTATATATATTTTCTGTTTCTGCTTCTTCTTCTTCCTCTTCTTCGAGTGACGCCCTTCGCCCGTCAGATCACGAGGGGTGTCGCCCCCCTGGGGGGGGGCTTGTCGTGCCGCCGCCAGGGGGTCCGAGCGCCAATCCAGGAAGTCCGCGCGGAGCTCAGCGAGTTTTGCATGTTTACGCAGTTGCTCGCCATCGCTCGGACGCCCACTCCCCGGGCATGTGTTCGGTTTCGCGCGTTTCCTCTTGTTGTTTGTCGAAAGGTGACCCAAGATGCTCCTCGATAGCCGGGGGAAGGGACTTTAGACCCCCCCAAATGAGGTGTAAGCACATCCTGGTTCGGCGGCCTTACTCGCGGATTCGCGTTCCACCGAAAAAGGAAACTCGTGTTTTTTCTGCGCGGCACCCGCCAGAAGCGCTCCCATGGAAAATCGTGGCTCGGAGACTTGTCGTTCGGAAGCTGATCCTGAAAACTCCATCCTGGGAAGACTGTTGACGCCCAGGCCCCGCGCGGGCCTTCCACAATCTACATTTACAGCTTCGTCGTCGGCGACGCGGGCGCCGACGACAGAGCTGTACAGCAGGGAAATATCACGCGAGTGACTGTGAAAACTGGTCTCGGCGACGAACGAGATCTACATTACAAACCCCTTACACATGTACGCTACTAACTGTGAGAAACGGCCTCGGCGACGAATGCGATCTATTGTGTAATCCTCTTACAAATATGCCAAAATCCCTCCGTCGCGCAGGGTAGCCCAACGCGCATTATTCGCCGAAAGAAACACCCCAAAAACACTATCCACCAGCACGGCGAACAATAATAGGTAACTACTTGGCGTGCACCGTCGCGGGCGCGAATGCTGAAGAGGGGCGTGTATATTGAAACTGTATATAAGCGCGCGGTCGTACAAACACGACGAGGTGAAGGAAGGGATGGCGAGCAACGCCGTCGACAAAGAATGTGTCGATCTATTTGCCCATCCCCTTACAAACGTACTCAGGATTCGTCTGTCGCGCAAGGCTTCCCAGGAAAGCCCTGCCCACCCAGCAACACAGGGAACATCACCGACGGGCCGCGCCGCTGGCGCTGACGCTGAAGATGCACATGTCATTTATTCATGTAGCTCGGGGATTATCAATCGCCGAGGAAGGGAGAGAGAGAGAGAGAGAGCGAGAGAGAGAGAGGGAGAGAAAGAGAGAGAGAGAGAGAGACAGACAGAGAGAGACAGATTCTTACAAACGCGATGAGATGAAGGAGGAGATGGCGAACAGCACCCTGGGCAACGAACGCGCCGATCTATCGATAGCAACCCTCTTACACACGTGCTCAACCATCATCTTTCGTGCAGGGTCGCCCAGATAACATTACTCACTGGGAAAATGAAGCCCCCGACATTATCCTGCTCACCCAGCAGCCGAGGGAAAATAATCAGCGCCACCCGCGGCCTCGGCGCCAGGCCCCATGCTCAGGCTGCGTTGGCTTGGGCGCCTCAAGGCTTCAGCATTGAGCTGCAACTATTGCCCCTCATTGTGCTCTCACGCGCCAGGCCTTGGCCCTCACAACAATTCCCCGCCCTTTATCTCCTCATGTTGCCTCTCTTCCTCTGTCTCCTCCTCTTCCTCCTCCTCCTCCTCCTCCACCTCCTCCTCCTCCTCGCGTTCCTCCTCCTGCTGTTCCTCCTCTTCTTCCTCCTCCTTTCCCTCCCGTCCTCCTTAACAGGGCTAGCGCAGGGTAGTCCAGGGGGCATTATCCCGTGGGATAAAAACCCGAGCACTCATCCAGCCCATCCAGCAAGAATGGGAAACGATACCCACCTCGCCACCGGCGCAGACCAGGCGCGAGAAGGAGTGTTGCGAACAGCAACAGGCAGGCCAATGTGAGAGAAAACTCCATTCAAAACGAAACACTGTTTTATTGCAGTCCCCATGGGAAGGTGCTCACTGATCCTCCCGCGTGAAGGATGGGCCACAAAAGGGTTATTCCGCGGCAAAAATGGCATCCAAGCGTTATCCAACCCGCCCAGCAAAAGAGGGAAACGGATCCCATGTCGCCACGCGCGCCGTCCAGGCGCCAGCTGGACTTCCGCCGGCAGTGCTAAACAAGCGAGTTTGAGCAAACTCCCGGATCAAAAACGAAACAATTCCGATTGCAGTCCCGATGGGAAGATGCTCACATATCCTCCTGCGTAAATGGTCGCCCACAATGGGTTACTCGTTGGAGAAATAAACCCACACATGACCCAGCCCACCCCACAAAGAGGGGAAATTAATCCAACGTCGCCGCGCGCGCCGACCAGGCGCGAGCAGGAACTCTATTAGGAGTGTTAAGCAGCCGGACTCGAACAAACTCGCAAATAAAAACGGGGCAATTTTGATTGCAATCCTAAATCCTCCCGCGGGTAGCCCACAGTGGATTATTCCGCTGGAGAAAAAAGAAAAGCGTCCACTATCCAGCCCACCCAAAAATAGTGGGAAACTATTACAACGTCGCCGCGCGCGCCGACCAGGTGCCAGCAGGAACTCTCCCGGCGGTGCCAGGCAGGCGAGTTTGAGTAAACTCGCAGATCGACACGAAGCGCACTTGCATTGCAATCCTCATGTGAAGATGTTCACAAATCCTCCCGCGCGCAGGGTAGCTCGGAATGGATTACCCCGCGGGAAAAGTAAACCCAAAATATCACCCAGCCCGCCCAACAATAGAAGGAAAGCAATGCCATGTCGCCGCGCGCGCCGACCAGGCGCCAGCAGGAATGTTGCCAGCAATGCTAGACAGGCGAAGCTGAGCAAACTCCCGGATCAATTTGTAACCTCATTTTCTGTTGCAATCCTCAAGGGGAGATTGTCGCAACTCCTCCTCGCATGAGACATGGCGAGTTTTCTGTTCTTGAAGCTGCGTAAACAAAAACGCAAATAACTTCCCACTCGGTCACCGTTGAGGCTGGAATTTCCTTGCCAGGCCAACATGGCGACTTCTCTATTGTTGAAACGTCGAGATACGCGTGCTCACTTCGAAGTCAAGTCGCCCCCCCCCCCCCCCCCCGTTTTCACGATGGGCTGGGAGGGGGGGGGAGGGTTCGAACCAGTAGCGACTTCCCCCCAGGATTCCGAAGGGGGGGGACGGGGTAGGAACCCCCAGCGATCCCCCCCCCCCCGAGTTTCCGCCAGCAGCGGTAGAACGCGCTCTTTCTAACTTCAAAATCCAATTGGCTACGGTTAAAGCTTCACTTTCGGTTCGGACAACGCAGAGCTCACCGCGCGCGCGTCCGCGCGCGCGTGCGCGCCCCCGCGCGTGGCGCGTCTTACATTGGTCGCAATGAGAAAGTCGCCATGTTGGCATGGGAATTATACTAAACCCTTCACGGTGAACAGAGGGATGTCGGGTGACACGCCAGCGCGTGGGTCGCCCGATCGCGCGCGCGCGGACGCGCGCGTGGCGAGTTCTGCCTTGCCATCAGCGGAGAAGTCGCCCGTTGGCCTGGAAACAAGCGTGAACCCTCAACGGCGACCGATTGGGTCTTGAAATTAACATGCGCTTTCGATTTGTCCGCCAACATGGCGACTCTTCCACCGTGGACAATACAAAGCTCGCCACGCGCGCGTCCGCGCCGTCGTCACTGCCCCCCGCGACCTCGCAGACGGCCGCACCCTCCGCGCCAACCGCGGCCTCGGCGCCAGACCCCATGCTCAGGCTGCGCTGGCTCAGGCGCCTCAAGAGAGCCTCAAAGCTTCAGATTGGAGCCCCCGCAATAGTGTCCCTCATTGCACTCTCACGCGCCAGGGCCTGGCCCTCACAGGGGGCCGCCCGTGCTGTATCTCCTCATCTTGCCTCTCCTCCTCTTCCTCCTCCTCCTCCTCCTCCTCTTCCTCCTCCTCTTCCTCCTCCTCCTCCTCTTCCTCCTCCTCCCTCCCACTCCTTCCTCCTCCCCCTCCTCCTCCGCCCCTTCCTTTTCCTCCTCCTCTTTCTCCCCCTCCTCCTTAGCAGGGCTAGTGCAGGGTAGCCCAAGGGACAAAAACATGATCCAGCCCGCCCAGCAGTAGAGGGAAAATAATCCCCGCCGCGACGAGGAGGTTTTAGGACTAATGTTCTTCATCGCCGAGAGAGAATACACACGGTTCTGCTTCGGCAGCCGCAGCCCCGCGAACAAAGGCAGCCCCGCAAGGCAGGGTCCTTCGCGCCGGGCCCAGCGCCCGCCGGCGTGCCGGTCCTTCTGAGAAAAAAGCTCGCCGACCCCAAGGCGGCTCTCCGTGGGGCAGAATCGAAAGCTGACCCCTCCGCAGGGCGGGGTTGCAGAATCCGTGCCCTCGAACGCGGGCTCGACAATGCGCTAAGGGCTTTACGACTTCTGCCGTCGGCTCGGGCTGGAGCGGACACGACTTGCTCCAAATTTGCCTGGAGAGATCTTTGGATTTACTCGGGCTTACCTGCACGTACCAAGATCTGCTTGCATTTGCCCCGATGTATAAGCATTTACCCTGATTTGTTCCGGCCTGATCCCAACAAGCCGATTGGCGAAAAGTCGCCAAGCCTTGGGGAGCAGTTTCTCGGAACAGTGCAGCTGCTGCACACGTGAAGCTACGGCTGCGGCTGCGGCTCCGCATGCGTGGCGCCGCGGGGGCGCGGGGGAGAGTGCACGTCGTTCATTTCTAATCGTGCTCGCTTCCAATTGTGCTCGTTTCGAATTGTTCCTGGCCCCCTAGTGGCCAGGAAGATGCCC